CCAGACACCACACCGAAGTCGAAAGCCGGATTTCGACAAAACCAAATAAAGATCATCGACCTACCACCGAGGTCTGCAAATAAATTCCCTGAGTTGCTCGAAATGAACTTCCTCGACCTGCCACCGAGGTCGAAAAATAAATTCGATGAAACCGAGAATCAAATAAAGATCATCGACCTACCACTGAGGTCTGCTCGAGCTATCCGTAATGAACTCCATCTCCCTTCACTTGAAGTCGAAAAATAAATTCGACGAAACCGAGAGCCAAATAAAGATCATCGACCTGCCACTGAGGTCTCCAATAGGATCCATGTCTTCACTAACCCAACACTAGGATCGACCACCCAGTCCGGAGGCCTTAATCATGGTGGATTTTGGTCTTCGAACACATGTCCACCCTCAAAGGAGTGGTCGTTACATGTGACCACCCAGCCCGGGGGCCTTAGTCATGGTGGATTTTGGTCTTCGAACACATGTCCACCCTCAAAGGAGTGGTCGTTATATGTGACCACCCAGCTCAGAGGCCTTAGTCATGGTGGATTTTGGTCTTCAGGCACTTGCCCACCCAATCCAAGGAATGCTCCAGAAACAGGAGGCCACCCAGCCCGAAGGCGTGGGCTTTTCGACCAACCTGCCCATCCCAAGGGGTGTACAAAACAAGCGACCACCCAGCCCGAAGGCCTTAGTCATGGTGGATTTTTGTCTTCAGGCACTTGCCCACCCAATTCAAGGAATGTTCCAGAAACAGGAGGTCACCCACTCCGAAGGCGTGGGCTTTTCGACCAACCTGCCCATCCCAAGGGGTGTTCAAAACAAGCGACCACCCAGCCCGAAGGCCTTAGTCATGGAGGATTTTGTTCGAACAACCCGAACATTCTACCTGCCACTGAGGTCAAATATGTGCACGTCGAGCAGAACAAGATATGATAGAATAATAATCGATCATCTTCGTTAGTGTCACCAAAAGAATAATCACATTGAACGAGATAATCATAAAAAACATCAAATGAATTTATTGACCTCCCTTTCCTGTTTGAACACGACGACCTGCGCTCGAAGTCATCGACCTGCTGCTCATTTCCTTACTGCAACCAAGCAGTCCATGATGTATCTAGATATCCAGTCCACCTGCTCATTCATTTTCCACAACAAGAATTCAACAAATTCCATTAGTTGTATTTTGTCCACCTTATCCAATTTGCAATCCCGATAGCAATAATAACAAAAGACGAATAAATCAAAGCAATCAAATTGGGCCACATTCGTTTATACCACACCTCAATCAACATGCATGCTCTATCACGGTATGAAATCGCATAAACACCCACTCAAATGTACCGCCGACCAGAATATCACAAAGCCATGAATTCAACAAACAGTTACAACAAACCATACTCCGCAGCTACAAACAATCATTAAACGAATGCACCAAACAAAAAATTTGAATGAATTATGCTCAATACCGAGCTCCTTAGTCATGACAACTCAAGACTGGCCAGTCCGAAAGCCTTAGTCGTGCCAGATTTTGCTCGAGGCTCCACGTACACCTCATTTTCTGCATTTTGTTAGTCACCCAAATAATAATTCCAGACATATCCACATACACCATAATTTCAGCAATATTTCCCCAAAATATTCAAACAATGAACATTACTCCCAAAAAGAATGCTGAGAGACTCAATGTTTCATTATATTGAGTCGGTCGAACTTGACCACTCACAAGAGTTGGGATTAACTTTATACCTGAAAGTCGAGCATGCCCCTCTCAATTATCATACCTCTCCAAAAGAGAATGATTTCTGCCTTTGAAACTGCCATATGTGATCGGCACCATCCAGACTCGTCCCTCATTATCACCCTGCTTTGATGGATCCATACTCGCTCATTTTGTCCTCGAAACTTCACAACTCGTCCACCATAGCTTGTCGAGACTCGAGTTATTTTGATGTTTTCTCGACAAGAATTCAAAGAGATACTATCATCCACATTATATTCACGTCATCTATTTTGCAATTTTTCACGCAAGAAAAACAAGAGATCAAATACAATCATCACCATCTCCTCGATTTAAGACATGTTCGAGCAATGACATGCTTAAATATTATGAATAATCAATTCAAGCAAAATTTCACATTTTCACATAAAAATCCAAATGAGAGACTCTGAATATATCAAGATATCAAATCATATCATCCTAATTCATCTCCTCGAGTCCACAGATAAATGCACCAAGCACACGGTAAAACACTCGCTAAATATCTCTAACTCGACATTACGATCCGCATTTATTTTTAATCAAATAATTTCTCCATAAATTAATCAAATAGTTCCACGGATAAATCGAATATCACCATGAGCAAATCAAATAATTCCATGATCGAATCAGATATCACCACGAAAAAATCAAATAATATCTCGAATAAATCACATAATCTCCTCGAGTAAATTAAATAATGCTCCCCAATCAAATCCGATAATACTCCACCAATAAATCAAATAGGCTCCATGGATAAATCAAACAATTTTTCGCAAACTAATCGAATATATTCTCCGCAAATAAACTCCATGAATATATCAAATAAACTCCATGAATATATCAAATATCCTCCATGAATAAACCAGATATGTCCATGAATACTTCACATATTCTCCGCAAATAAATCACATAATATCTCGGGCAAATCAAGTAATTCTCCTCAAGTAAATCGAATAATACTCCACCATAAATCCAATAATACTCCTCAATAAACCAAATATCTCCATGAATAAATCATATAAGCTTCACGTATAAGTCAAATAATGTTACACAAATAATCCAATGAGCTCCATGTATAAGGTATATAATGTTCCACAAATAAATCCAATTATCCTCCATAGATAAGTCTAATAATTCCCACGAATATATCAAATATTTACTCCAATTTCACCAATTAAAGAATCCTCAAGCTCAAAATTTAAATCCACTCCATACCTTCATCATGAGAATGATATTCCAAATTACCTTCTCGTTCGCTTTTAATCATCTCGAATTAATTTTGAGCACTAAATGAGGCTGTTGGATCAATTTAGTAGTATTCTGGGCCATTTCTGCACTCACAGGGCCTTCATATGCTTGTTGGGCCGCGCACATGGAAATTGGGCCGCCTAGAGGACGTCTGGGCCACGCTATCGGGCTGATGGATGGCTGAGAAGGCGGGCTGGGCGCGCGGGCCACCCTTTGTGAGAGATGCGGGCCGCGTGGGCTGGGCGCGGCCCGCGTGGCGGATCTGCTACCCGCGCCTGGTGGATGTTGGGCCTCGCGGGCTGGGCTCTTGCTGGGTCTTGGGCCTCGTCCTCTGGGCCACGTGATGGATATCGAGCCTCCACTCCTGGGCCGCGAGCTGGAGCAGCTAGTCGACGGGCCTTCACTCCATGGCTGCGCGATCGAGAACCCGGTAAGTTGTGGGCTGCCGGAATTAACACAGTGTGCTGCCGGGAAAATCCGCCGAAAAAAATGACTTGCCGTCTCCGGTGCAGGTAACCATCCGAGAGGGCGCCCCGACGAGGAGAGTCCGGTGGTGCCGTCGGTTCGAAGTGGTTCACCGGATATCGACAGGAAATCGGAGAAGAAGACCGATGGTTGACCAACAATTTCTTAGATCTACATATTTTAACCAACAAATCGACGGCATTCCCGTTGGAGTTTTTGGTTGAAATTCTAAAGGTAGAACGAGCACGAAGAGAGCTTTGCAATGGTGTAAGAATTTTTCAGATCGGCCGAATTTGGGTGGCGTCCGGCGGCGACAGCGGTGGTGTCCGGCGAAGATCGGTAGCTGGAGATTCGTCTCGCCGAGAGGATTCCGATGGTACCCTCGGATTCTTCATAGCCCTCCCGGATCGCCGGAAAAACGCATTTGAAGGTCTAATGTTGACCAAAACTTCTTAGATCCGGGAAGTTTGACCGGCCAAATCGAAGGCCTTCCTGGATGAAATTTCGAATGAGATTTGAAGGGGAGATACACCTCGACGAGATCTACCCGTTGACGTAAACATTTTTACGATCCAAACACGTTGGCCGGCTGAGTCGAAGGAGGATTTTTGGAATTTTTCGATCGGAACACCGTTTGACTTTTTTAACGGGTCCCACAGACGGCGCCAATGAAGTGAGTAAGATTTCACTCGGGCTCCTTCGACTCGGTCGGCCTCCGTACCTGCAAGAACCCAACACCGGGAGGGCTCCCGGCGTCGGGCCTCCGACACTCAAGTCAGAATCACTCCAAATCTCAAGTATAGTAATGAATGTAGAGAGGATGAGAGAATGAGATACCTTAGCCCCCTTTTATAGGGGGAATGTACCTTATGACCCATGTTGGTCTTGTCTAATAGCATCACGCCACGTGTCCTAGCCATGTGTAGGCTTATTCTTCAATATATCCTCTTTTTATCCATTAAGGCTGGTCTAGTATATGATATCCTATATCATATATAATAAAAAGGAACACTGTTAAATAGTGTAGTAGAATTGTTATAAAATTATATGAATTATTTGTTTTACAATATGAATTTTGTATCTTTTTATGATTTGATAATATAACTATAATATATTCTTAATGATACAATCTAAAATCGTATTACAGAATTTCAATACATAAATAATAAAGTTTTTGCTAAAATGATAAGAAGAAACTTTCTATTTCAATCTACAAAAAGTTTAAAACGATTTTATGGGATTTTGTTTAAAACGATTTTATGGGATTTTGTTGACTAAACGGATTTTATGGGATAAAACAAATAAAAAATAAGAAGGAAATTTCAAATATACAAAAAATTAAAGCCGATTTTTTGGGATTTTTTCGCAGGAAAACGGTTGTATGAGAATAGTAATAACATTAATTGAATCGCATAGTATTAATTTTAATATAAAATAATTAAATAAAATACATGTTAGAAATAATAATAATATTAATTGTAGTTGACTTTTCTAAATACTATTTGTAGTAAATCTGATCCCTTTTTTAATGATCACTAATAACTCGTCTAATTGGGGTTAAGGATCATCGACTCCCCAAAGTTGTAGCCCTTGTAGTTGAACACTAACAAGAACTGCATTTCAGTAACATCTATAGGGTTTTGTTTTGGAGGTTTTGATCTGGAATTCAATGGCTAAGGAGAAGAACAAGTATAGCATAATTGTTCCTACCTACAATGAACGCCTCAACATCGCTCTCATCGTTTACCTAATTTTCAAGCATCTCGAGTGAGTGCCTCTGCGTGTGTGTGTGCGCGCGCACGCGCTCGCTCTATTACCATGGATTTTAGATGTTGGCAAAATATTAAGATGGGATCGAACAAACTCCCGGTCAATATGTGATCGCCTTAACTTTACCTTGAATTCGCGAGTATGGATTTTGTCAATTCTTTTGTCCGAATCGGGTATTCCATAAAAGTGATAATTGTTGGAATTTGAATTGGCAACATTGGCTGGATTTATTGCCTAGTACCAAATTGCGTTACTTTTGAGATGCTCAACTCCAAAGGTCCTTTTGCTGTATTGCCTTCCGAGGATTTGTTGTTGGTGTTTGAATTTGAATTTTTTGCATTCCTTTGTTTAACAGAAGGATTAAATGTTCCAAATTGTCTCTATTTTGTTATGCTAGGGATGTTCGACCATTACAGGTGAATTTGCATTTGTGATAAAGTTATTCAATTAGGTGTAGAGTTAAACACCATCAAATTTCTGGGGATTTCATTATTTTTCGTGGTTAGGTTAGGTAATCAAGCCAAACGGGCCATAGCAAGATAGAGGACCGGAGACTTGTCTGTGCTAACTTTTTGCTTATTTATTTTTTGTTTAGATGAGCTGAGTGTTTCACATTGAATTGGATGTATAAATTCAGAAGGTGGGTGTTTTATTTAGTTTGGACTTTAGAGCCTTGAAGATGTAATGGTGTTAAGAGAAATATTCAGATCTGTTTTAATAGATCTAGTTGTATAAGTGAAAAATGACTCCTTTTTTGGGCAGTTCGTGTGGCAATTGGTATCTTTTTGCTCTTCTAAGTTCTTTTATGCTTTTATACTGTGGTTAATGGTACTGTAGAGTTTTAAAGGCCAAATTGTTTATGTTCTTTGTGCATGTGAGACTTGATAATTGGCATATCTTTCTCTTGGACCAGGAATGTAGATTTCGAAATAATTATCGTGGATGATGGGAGTCCAGACGGGACCCAGGAGATTGTTAAACAGCTGCAACAAGTCTATGGTGAAGATTGTATTGTAAGTTTTAAGGAGCTAGGACTGAGGAGTCAACTTGTTTTCTCCCTTAAATATTTTGCATATAATTTCACAGCATTAAGGTTTAGTGCTGTATGTTTATTCATGGATCTCTATGGTACAGCTGCTGAGACCCAGACCTAAGAAGCTTGGCTTGGGTATGTATTTTGGCATCCTCTATATTTGAAAGATGATAATTATTTCACTATTTCAAGGTTAGCATTATTTATATATCCATTTTCAGGGACGGCTTACATGCACGGGCTGAAGCATGCGAATGGAAACTTTGTTGTTATCATGGACGCTGATTTGTCGCACCATGTAAGTATGCATCTTGAGATCCATTACGTATAGGATTTATTCATATTGTGTTGCGTTTTCTTGTAGATACGGTGAAATCATCCTCAAAATATGTCAAAAAAGAAAATTTTTTGTGTGATAATTGATAATAAACATCCACTCTCAACGGTCAAAAGTTAATTATTTTAATCTCCCAAAAATAAAGAAAAACTTAAAAGTGGCCCGAGCATTTATATTTTTATGTAGAAAAATTATGCTTGTTTTTTTGTTATTATTTAATCCACATCGAGCTGAGTTTTCTTTCTTATGCTTGTTGTCAGCCCAAGTACTTGCCAAGCTTTATCAAGTAAGTCGTATTAAAGTGAGCTGCTGGAGGAGATATATGATCTTAGCATCCAATCTAGGTGATATAAATCTTCTTGTTCAGGAAACAGATGGAGACAGGCGCAAGCATAGTGACTGGTACACGATATGTGGAAGGTGGTGGCGTCCATGGATGGAATCTGATGCGTAAATTGACGAGCAGGGGAGCCAATGTCCTTGCACAAACCCTTCTCTGGCCAGGTGTATCGGACTTAACTGGATCTTTCAGGTATTTTACTTCAATAACTATTTTTGTTTCTCCAATCCAAGTTCCATGTAACACCCTTCAATTTTTGTCGTTTCTTTTGAAGGCTATACAAAAAAACTGTGCTTGAAGATGTTATAAGCTCATGTGTAAGTAAAGGATATGTTTTCCAGATGGAGATGATTGTTAGAGCCTCTCGAAAGGGACACCACATTGAAGAGGTTATTTCATTTTGCCTCTCTCTATTTTGAAGGCTAGCCTGTTAATTATGTATATTTCTCAAGTTATTAAGTTAACTGTTAATTGAAAATCTTTGATTGCTACAATGACGACAGAACGGTTTCTTGAAGTTAACTATTAATTGGGATCTTTCATTGCTACAAGGACGATAAAATGGTGAAAAAACTATGTATTTGAATTTAGCTGTCCAAAAACCTTGGACTAAGGAAAGAACTTAATTTTATGGTTGGCAATACCAGGAAAAGTTAACACTTTATTGACATTCTCTAAAGGCCAACTTCATGGAATTAAACATCTGTCAACTTAAAAACTTACTGAAGAAGCGTAATTCTTGATGCCCAGTACTGTAATACATGCAGAAAAAATTGAATTTAGAATTCAAAAAACACGAAAAGTACTCTACTAACTTGTGAGGACTTGTGATTGGATCTTCAAAGTATCTCTTTTGGCTTTTAAGATGCATACATATTGGATCTTTAAAGTATCTCTTTTGGCTTTTAAGATGCATACGTTCTCATATATGTTTAGTCCTATCTCAGTCATTGAACCTCTACAGTTTTTATGTTTTTGCTATTTTTCCCCAATTTTCCGGGTATGTTAGGTTATTAAATNNAAATCCCATTTCTATTGTTAAGCTTTTCAGGCGACATGATAATTGTAATTTGTATGTAAAACACTCTCAGAGAATCTATATCTTGAATTTCCTACAATAGAGCATTCAATGTACAACTAAAAGTACAACAATGGAGAAGATATATCAAGAACTGAATCTAAATCTTCCTTTATATACACTTGTCGCTGATTTGGCTGTTTCGAATATTAACACAGGTTCCAATCACGTTTGTGGATAGACTGTATGGGAGCTCAAAGCTAGGAGGATCAGAAATCGTGGAGTATCTCAAAGGACTCCTGTACCTTCTATTTACAACTTAAGAAAATTGTGGGTTTAAGTAACCGGTCGTGATAACTGCAAGCCCTTTTGACTATTGAGGAAGTTCAAACGAATACCTAACCCATTCCCTGATCCAAAATACAAACAAGCAATTTGACTTTCGGCTCTTGCCTCTTGTTTCTCTTCCCTGTATGTTGACCCAATTTGCTTTAAATTTGGTTTAAATTTATGCTATGGTAAACTGGCAGTGATACAAATTTCCATTGTCTGAGTTGAGACTCATAAAGCAGATGTGATGCTGACTTTCTAGACGGGACTCCCCCCGGAACATGATCTGTTATTTTCATATGTTGTCAGATTTTCTCTGTATTTTTTCTTTTTTTTTTTGTTGTTTTTTGGTTTTCGTTTGACTGGATGTATATCAGACATTGATGAAAACTAAAAATAAAAATAAAATTCAAATTCAAATTAAAAAATTAAAATACAAATTACAAACCTATGGTAAACTACAAATATGATATTGATTATTGAACACTTATTTAGAGAAATGTCATTATACATTAAAAAATTAATGATAAAAATATATAATTGTATATTATACATATAAAAAAAAAAGAAAATTATATATTAATTAAACCGGTTCGACCGGTTCGACTACTGGTCCGACCAGTGAACCATTGAATTAGTAGTTTAACCGGTTCGATGACCGATCCGATTTTCAGAACATTGGTAATTGTTAATTTTTAAATGCTATTGTGACATCTATGTATCTTGTTGGATTATTTACTTTAGATGAGTGGAATAGGTAAGCCCCTTGTCATGCCAAATCCTTCATTTCCTTACCAAGATTGCAACCCAAGGGATAAAAATGCAGCTTGAGGTGGGCCACAGACTTATAACGCATTAACTGATAATTGTATCTGGCCTGCAGCCTTGGGATATTTTTGTCCCAGTTAATGGGGAAGTCAAAATTACTGGATAGCCCTCAAAATACCAGATGAAGTGATCAAGACGACCTTTGAACAGGATGTGTTTACAATTGAAGTCACGATATAATCAGACGGGTTCAAACAACTGGGTTACGAAAAACCTTCTGCCTTATATTTATTCCTCTCTTGCACGTTGCTGGTATATTTATAAGCGAAGTGGTTTAATAAATCCATAGTGTCAAATCCATTATGTGTGTAACGTCCTGTTCAGTTAATAAGTAGAACCGATTCACTTTGCTCGATTTTAAAGTGAAATCGGAAGCGTTTTTCATTAAATTGAGTTAATAGATTAAATGTTATTAATTTCTTAAGTATTTTTTTGTGACTTTTATGATTTAATTGGTAAAGATTAAATGATTAGAGATAATTTATTTAGACAAGAAGGTTTAATAAGAGTATATTTGAATTTGTATTTGAAATATTCGAGTTTTTTTTCGGTTTTAAATTGTAGTCAGAATTTATGTCTGATTTCAGTTCCATAAAAATTATAGTTCTCAATATATATATTTTAGTAGACATTAAGATGAACTTTGGCATCGATTTTCAAAAAGAAAATTAGAACACTTATAGATTAAATTTTAAAAAGTTGTAAGGGATATTGTTTTTGGAAAAAAAAAAATATATAATAAAGTGTTAATTTAAATCATATTAATCTCATGAAATTTTTTTTTGATATTGATATATATATCATGTGATATGTTGACACATCATAAGAATAAAATTTTTTCAGCATAAAATGGATAACACAAAAAGTAAAAGAAAGAAACTGAAAATTTCGATTTTTCGGTAAACGATCATTTTAAATCAGAATTCGGTTCCGTAAATTCTATATTTTTCATTAAGTCACGAATTTTATCATGAAAATCAGATTAGGATCACATGATGGCACTTTCTAAGCATTTACTATAGCTTGGAGAAGTTTACAAGTTATGATTTCCATTCTTTATCTTTATTTATTATTATCAATTTTTTTTAAGTATTCCTAAGTAATAAATGAGCCATTTTAGATAAATTTCGAGCCATATTCAGATGTGGTTAAAGGGAGGATTTTTGTCTTAATATATACAAGAGAAATCATGCATTACAAGTACTTATCAATGCTTAATCATCTTTGTGCAAGATTTTAGAAAAAATTTAATGGCAAGGGCCTAAATAAGTTTATTATGATGGAGTGTTGAGGTAAAGAAGGTGATGTTGTCTCCTTTGCTACCCTATATAAAGGGGCATTAGCATAGGCTCGAAATTCACACCAAATTAAGCAAAGTCTTAGCTTGCCGAAGATAGGTTGCGATCAACTTTTGATTTTTCAAGGCTATTGAAGAAGGTAAACTACTAATCATATTTATATGATTTGGAGATGAGATTATGTGTTTATTGATGTATATTAAAGTCTTATAAGTTCAGTTTATAATCACTTATAAGCATGCAAAAAGTTAAACTAGTTCCTAGCTAGTATAAATGTTATATGTGCTCTGTTTTAATGCATTTTTGAGTATGATATGCATAAACTGGGAAAGTATGATTTAAATAGGTATTTCTTATGTAAATGAGGAGTACATAAGAACAAGAAAATTGTTATTTGGTTAAGTATAACTCGAGTTTCATGTTTTTTAAGTAAATTGAATTTTTATGTAAAATTTCAGCTGCGTAATTTGAACTCGATTAAGTCCATATATGTGCATGAGAAAAATGTGAAATTTTAATGAAATATCTACATATATGTTGAGAGTGTGCATGCAAAGTTTCTTAATTTTATGTTGAGAAATGAGTAAGTTAAAAATGTTACACCGCATGCATGTCAAGTTGAATTTAAATGTGATAGTACTCTGTATACAAGAAAGCTTTTAAGATGAAACTTTTATGAATAATTTTGTTATAAATTTTGGTCAAAATGGCCAAGTTTCAGCTTGATATGATAAGTATGTGAAATTATAAAATTCTTTGAAGTTAGTTGTAAAATTGGCATAATTATATGTTAATTTTAATATTTGAATGGATTGAGCTATTGAAGTGCTTTTGAGCTAATATTTGATCAAAGAGTATATGAATATATCTACTATGTAATTGCCAAGTTTCATAATTTTTAGAGCTATATGTAATTTTTGAGAAAAGATACTTAGATATATTTGCTTGTATATGTTGGTAGTTGTGGAGAGTCGAGCCTCCAACAACTACATCAATTAGCACTTGCAAAGTCCTTTCAACATATCAGGTGGGGACCCATACAGGGTGTTACACTGAACATATTCTATTATTTTGAATGAGGTATGTGAGAAAATTATTTACCCGAACGTTTGAATTATCCCATTTGTGGTCTAGTAAGTTATTACCCGAACGGTTGAATTATCCCGTTTGTGGTCCAGTAAGTTATTTACCAGAACGGTTGAGTTAGTCCGTTTGTGGTCCAGTTAAGATAAGTTTAATCACCCAGTCTTGTATGTAATTTTTCCATCCTGGGTTCTGCGGGAGGCGACCCCCAGAGTGTGATCACATGATAATCCAGAAAATTTACGGATGTTGCAACAATACAGTAAAGTAAAGTTTTATTTATGCATATGCAGATTTCATGATATATGATTTCATGTGCTCTTTCCCCATTATTATTTTTTAGGTGATGGAGTTCAGCGTGAAGCGTGAGCCGAGCAGTGGTGTGGTGATGTTTGAATAAAGCTGAATATTTATTATGTTTGTGTTTAAGTTGGTTTGTATTAAACTATATATGACTATATTTTAATTACGCTTTTGTACAGACAAACCAGAACCATTAAGTATATATGTATAATTATTCTATGTATATTTATTCCTTATCCTTATTATCCAGCTAGATTTTATATGTTGATTTGGATACGAAAGAAGAAAAAAAAAAAAAAAAGTTAGTAAGTAAGTAATATCCCGTAAAGTTAAATTTTAGTATTTTGCAAAAATTTTAACCAGATTTTTTTAAGCGGGGTGTTACAGTTTGGTATCATAGCCCAATTATAGGTTCTGTAGACCAAAAGTTAGTGAAGTAACCACACCACGCTCACGCTCGTGCTAACTCCGAGGTAAGTGATCTAAACAAGTCTTTATTTTTGCAAGTGCTTTATCTATTCAGTATGAGAATTTAAGGGGCCTAGAAAACTATCCTCGTATGAGAAAGAAAACTCTAGACTAGAACTCTAGAAAAAAAAAAAATTCTAGTCAAATTCAGAACTCCTATTTGAATTAGAACTCTAGACCAGTTAAGTGGTATGCCAACGACTCGTCAAGAAATATTACAAACATCGAGAGGTTAATATTGCAATCTTTCTTCCAAACTCCTTCACTTACTAATCCTGTCAACGGGCCATTCAGATGGCTCATCGCAGAAATGCTCCAGTCCAGCCAGTCGTAGCCCCTCCAGTAATTCTCGAGCTAGATCAGGGGCAGCGAGCCACACAGTTCCGTGGATATCACCCAACGACATTTAATGGACAAGGAGATCCTAAACAAGTTGAGGAATGGCTGCGCAACCTTGATGGTCATGGGTTGCTCAGAGCTAATTAAGATCTTGTGCACTCAGTTGCAGTTGACAGGGGATGCTGGGCTTTGGTGGACCGCTTATTGGGCTATGAGGCCTGGGGAGAAGAATAATCTCACATGGGAGCAGTTGAAGAAAATAGTCCAGGAGAAGTACTACCCGGCTCACTACTGTGAGAGAATGTTCTTGAGTTGAAGCAGGACGGCCGGACCGTTGACGAATACGAACGAGAGTTCACTCGCCTCGGTTTCTTTGTGCCATATCTAATTGACACAGAGGAGAAGAGGACGAGGCGCTTTCGGGGAGGTCTACGTGGAGATATCCGTCATACCCTAAGTGCTATGGAGGCCATGTCATATGCTGAGATATTTTCTCGAGCCCGGCAGATGGCCGAGAGTTTGATGGTAGAGGCCAGTCAAGTTTATGTCTCAGTCATGCAGCCAGTACAACCATTTGCATTACCAGCTCTGCCAACCCCATTACAACTAGCGCAACCACAGCAGGCGCAACGTCAACAGGCACAACAACCAAACAAGAGAAAATGGAAGGGTCGTAATGGAAGGAATAATAGACAGAAAGTACCAGCACCAGCCCCAGGTCAGGCAGTGCAACCGATTCGACAAGTTGTACCACCATGCGCTACCTGCGGTAAAAATCATCGTGGGGAGTGCCTAGCTGGACAGAATGTGTGCTATCACTGCCGTAAACCTGGTCACGGAATTCGTGATTGCCCAGACCGCTATCAGAACCAGCAGGGTCAGCATCAGCCAGCCCAGAACCAACCAAGAGGTGAACCTGCACATATTTTCGCCCTTAACCAGACGGAGGTAGCCGAGCAGCCAGGTACGATGTTTGGAATGATTGCATTATTCAACATACCAATCTTTGCCTTATTTGACACTAGGGCGACTCATTCATTCATCTCGACCAAGTGTTTAGAAAAA